TGAACTAACTATTAATGATAAATACCCTATCCCGATCATGGATGAAATATTAGACAAACTTGGAAAATGTCAATATTTCACAACCATTGATCTAGCCAAAGGCTTTCACCAAATCCAAATGGATCCTGGTTCAATACCCAAGACCGCATTTTCGACTAAACATGGCCATTACGAGTACACTCGCATGCCATTTGGTCTTAAGAATGCACCTGCAACGTTCCAACGTTGTATGAACAATCTCTTAGAAGATTTAATTTTTAAAGATTGTCTGGTCTACTTAGACGACATTATTATTTTTTCCACTTCATTGGAGGAACACATTTTGTCGCTACAAAAGGTATTTAAGAAGCTTAGAGAAGCTAACTTAAAACTACAGTTGGATAAATGCGAGTTTATGAGAAAAGAAACTGAATTTCTCGGTCACATCATCACAACTGAGGGTATAAAACCAAATCCCAACAAGATACAAGCAATTGTCAAATTCCCAATTCCAAAAACCCCAAAAGAAATTAAATCATTTCTAGGATTATGTGGTTTCTATAGGAAATTTATACCAAATTTCGCTAATATAGTAAAACCATTAACACTTAAATTAAAAAAGGGAGCAAAAATCAATATAAAAGACAGAGACTACGAACTAGCGTTTGAAAAGCTAAAAGTACTCATAACATCCGACCCAATTTTAATATACCCTAACTTCGAAAAACCATTTTCATTAACTACAGACGCAAGTAATATGGCAATAGGGGCCGTCCTTTCGCAAGAGCATAAGCCTATATGCTATGCAAGTAGAACTCTCAACGAGCATGAGTTAAATTATTCAACGATTGAAAAAGAATTATTAGCAATCGTTTGGGCCACTAAATACTTTAGGTCCTATCTCTTTGGTCGACAATTTCAAATCCTTAGTGATCACAGACCACTCGTCTGGTTAAATAATATGAAAGAACCTAACATGAAATTACAAAGGTGGAAGATCAAGCTAAATGAGTTTGATTTCCAAATTAAATACGTCCCAGGAAAAGAAAATTATGTGGCAGATGCTCTGTCCAGAATTCAATTAAACGAAAACTTCTTAGGCGAAGATACAATTAGCACAAGAGCAACAATACATAGTGCTCAAGAAGACAACAGTAACCATTTACAAATCACAGAAAGACCACTTAATTATTATAATCGACAAATAGAATTTGAAAAAGGAACCGAGAACGAAACAAAAGTTACGAATTACTTTCACAAAACCAACATAAAAATTACGTACAAAGACATGACTAATACGCATGCCAAAGAATTAATAAAAGAATACTTATGCACAAAGAAAAGTGTGCTATACTTCCACAACGAAGCAGATTTTCCAATTTTTCAAGAAGCCTACTTAGAAATAATAAGTCCAAATAATTCAACAAAGGCAATGAAAACTAGTACAAAATTAATAGACCTTCAAACATACGCAGAATTCAAAGAATTAATATTAAAAAAGCACAAAGAATTATTACATCCAGGAATTGAAAAAACTATCAATTGGTTCAAAGAAACCCACTATTTCCCAGATTATCAAAATTTAATTCAAAATCTAATAAATGAATGTGAGATTTGCAACATCGCAAAAACAGAACACAGAGATACAAAATTAACTTTCGAAATAACTCCGGAAATCGCTAATATCCGAGAAAAATATGTAATGGATTTTTACATAGTAGGAGATAAACAATTTTTATCTTGCATTGATATCTATTCAAAATTTGCATCATTAATAGAAATAAAAGTAGAGACTGGCTAGAAACCAAACGAGCTATATTACAAGTGTTCAACCAAATGGGTAAACCCATCGAAATAAAGGCAGACAAAGACTCAGCTTTTATGTGCACAGCTTTACAATTATGGCTAAAATCAGAAGCAGTAAATATTAATATAACCACTAGTAAAAATGGTATATCCGACGTAGAACGATTTCATAAGACAGTTAACGAAAAACTAAGAATCATTAACAGCGACTCAGACGTCGAAAATAAACTTACAAAATTTGAAACTATACTCTACACGTACAATCATAAAACAAAGCACAAAACGACTAACAGAACACCAGCGGACATATTCATATATGCAGGTACACCAGAGTATGACACTCAAGCTAATAAAGAAAAACTAATAAATAACCTCAACAAAAACCGAAGAAACTTTTAACAATTTAATTGAACAAAGTAAAGAATTCAATAACCTTATACAAATCGAATACCTAGTAGAAAAATTAAACAGAGAAATAAACGGCTTAAAAATAGCCAAACGCAGCAAAAGAGGTTTAGTTAACATAGTAGGAACAGCATATAAATACTTATTTGGAACATTAGATCAAGAAGACAAAGCAGAAATTGAACAAAAAATAAGCAACTTAGCAGAAAACAGCGTTCAGGTTAACGAATTAAATTACATAATAGAAGCTATAAACAAAGGAATAGAAATCATGAACGAACTAGATCAAGAGAAACAAAAAGGAAAGAAATTAGATATCCTTATATTTAACTTACAACACTTTACAGAATATATAGAAGACATTGAGATGGGAATGCAGCTCACAAGATTAGGAATTTTTAACCCAAAATTACTAAAACATGACTATTTGTTGCATGTTAATTCTGAGAAATTGTTGAATACAAAAACTTCCACTTGGTTTAAATCAGATACAAACGAAATACTGATAATATCCCATATTCCTCGAGAAATAATAAAAAGCCCGGTATTCGAAATAATTCCATACCCGGATGAAAATAATAATATTTTGACAGAAATAGCTCATGAAAAATATTTTACCCAAGATAAAAAAGTTTATAGCAGAGAAACAAAAAAATTAATTAATAATGAATGTTTAACAGGAATTTTAAACCAAATAACATCAGAATGTAGTTATACTAAAATTTTGCAAAATTTTCAAATCAACTACATAGAACCAAATATAATTTTAACTTGGAATTTACCAAAAACTATATTAAACCATAATTGTATAAATAACGAAATAACAATAGAAGGAAACAATATAATAAAAATCTTTAATTGTTCATTGCAAATTAATGAAATTTCAATTTCAAACAATATGTTAGATTATACTCAAAGCATTTACGTAAGCAATGATGTTATAAAATTAGAACCACTTTCGTTTGTACAAACGAAACAAATTATAAATGCACATACAAAATTTAACAATGTATTCCAGATAATTACAATAACCATATTTGTAATCATATTAATAAGTTTAACACTGTATTTGACATATAAGTTCAAAAGCATACCTAAGAAATTAATTATAAAATATAAAAAACCCAAAGTAGAAGAAACACCTACAATAATAGGAGATATACCAATTCTAAAAGAAGAAAATGTTACACTATATCCAAACTTAAACACCTGAGGACAGGCACTTTTCTAATGGTTGGGGGAGTGACATATCCATAGTCGCACCCACCCTTTAACATAACTTAGCACATAAGCATAAGCACAACTATAAACATTTCTAATATTGTAAACAAAGAGCCTGGTGATAACATCGACATTGGTCAAGATCAAACTGTCCCCCTTTGGTAGACATAAACAATTCACCCTAAATATCACGCCACTGTCAATGTTCCCATCAGAGTACTATCCCACGCATAATTGCTGACGCAGCTCAAACTTCACTCAATTTTGACTCAAACTCTCTCAAAGCGAAGTTTGCTAAGCGACCGCAACAGTTAGATAAATTAGTTCATATTCGGGAAGCAAATCTGAATGTACTCAACAAAAGTAGCCGTTAAGTGAAAATAATAAATTGAAATATATTTTTTTATAGTAACCTAACGTGTAAAACTTAATTATATGAATTGTATTATATTAAAATATATTTAAATGAAACTAAATTTAATTAGATTTTAGTCAAAAACTGCATACAATAAGACTTTGCATGCATAACATATGAATAAACTATGTTTAAGTAAAGCTAAAATTTATTTATTTATTTTTATTTATTTCGAGTTCGGCCAAATTAGGCAAAGCTCCAATATAAGAATTTCTGTTTCGGACTAAGGTTTACCACAGGGATTTTGACGTATGCAATTTATTTGAGTATCACAGACTCGTCCTTTTCTTTAAGTGTACATCCCATTTGCTCGCGCTTTCCATTGCCAGGTAGCAAATACCATGGCCAGAGAAAAATAAGTGGAAAAAAAAGAAGAAAATATGTTAAATTAATCAAAATGTAATGTGGCTGCCTGCTCCATGGCAACCGAGAAGCTGTACGCCCCCTTTCCCATCCGCTCAAAATTAAGCTAATAAATTTACAAAAATGAGTTCGACGCTTAATTTGCCATGAGCATTTTTCATTTCGTTTCGCGGCCGCTCGCTAACCTCCTCTTAAGCCACGCGGAAACCAAATGCTTTACACAAAAGCCAAGGCACAACAAAAAAAAAACAAACAACAAACTGAAAAGTACAAATAAAAAAAAAAACAGCTGGACAAGGGACAGCAGAACAGGCAACAGGAACAGGATCGAAAACGTGGCAAGGCAAGCACTTTAATGAGGAGAACTCTCTGACTCTTGACTTGGAGAAGCTCTCAACGATTAGTTAGTTAGTTCTGAAGGGGCACCAAATTTGTAACTAACAGAAATATTCAACTAAATGGACGTCAAATGATTGCCTAACTATAAAAATGGTTTTATTTATAAATAGGAAACAATATTTATGTATTTTTATGTCAGGCGATTTTAGCTTATAAAATGTATGTCAATAAATTAACATGCTAAACAGCTTTACAGAAGCAATAAAAAAACTCCGAAAGACTTTATATTTCTATAAGAAACAACTTGAATTCTCTTTAAACCCACGCAAATACAATACACAAAAAGCTATGTAAATTAACAAAGTATGTCCGCAGTTAATTTACATAAAGTTGAAAACATTTTTTTTTAGCTTCACGCCTTATAAACCCACCCAAACATCTAACAAATTCATTTTCTCTTCGCCCTTTGCAGACTTGACTTTCGGCCGGGTCGCGGCCTTTACGATCTGCAAATTAAGAACACCTCCTACAATCGGGACAATGGACGGTTTGAGTGCCGCATCAAGGCCAAAGGCACCGGCGCCGATGTGCATCAGGAGTTTTACAATGTGACCGTGCTAACAGCACCACATCCGCCCATGGTGACGCCCGGCAATATTGCGGTGGCCACCGAGGAGAAACCACTCGAGTTGACCTGCAGCAGCATCGGCGGCTCACCGGATCCCACGATAACGTAAGGAAGCATAATAAATTTAAATTCAACGTTACAGTTTTGCGAGAACATTAATCCTTTTTAGGGAAAAACCTGCAGAGGTTTTGGATATATATATCTGAATTTGTAATGTTAACAGTAACAGCAACAGCAACAGTAACAATAACAGTAACAGTGAATGTTAACGTAGCAGTTTCAATATCATTAAGAGTTACTATATTATTAGTGAACAGAGACAGTCACAGTATTTGTAACAGGAACGGTAACAGCCTCTGTAACAGTTACATTAACATTGCTGTTATTTTGATTACATTTTTAATTTAAATTTATAACAAAAAATCAAAGTAACTTATTCTTAGTAAGCTTGATATGTCTGTGAGAGTGTTTTAACTTCGGCTTTGCATAGTTAAATTTTTTTTTATATTTGTGAATATTTTTTATACATTTTTGGGTTCACAGCTGTCGTCGCCGCTGTGGTCAGCTACAGTTTTAAGCACATCCGGCGGCAAGTAAATCACTTAACTGGTCGCCTTCATTAATAATCCCAGCCGGCACATGCAGTTCTTTTTATTCGCCACTAAATCGCTGTCCTTCTCCGAATCTCCATGCGCCTCACTCTCGCTCTCACTCACTTGGACTATCTTTCTTTTCGTATGATTGCAGCTGGTTCCGCGAGGGCAGCAAAGTGCCATTGCAGTCGTATGCGCTAAAGGGCGGCTCCAAGAACCACTACACAAATGCCACACTGCAGATACTGCCCAGACGGGCCGACGATGGTGCCAAGTACATATGCGTCGTTTGGAATCGTGCCATGCCCGAGGGACATACGCTGGAGACGAGCGTCACACTGAATGTCAACTGTGAGTATGGGGGAACTAGGCGGGGTGCTCAAGAACTCAAATGGTACGAAATGGAGCCAAGCAAAAAAAAAACAAAAAACAAAAAGAACGGGAAAGAACGGCCTGCCATAGCCCTAAAATTTATGACCTGTCCTGCGATTTTGAGAATTTTCGCTTTTTCTGCTTTTTAGTGGTTCTTACAATTTTGTTGTGGCTATGTTATGAAGTAAGCCATATTTACGTAGCCAGATGATATATAAAGCCAGTGGGTTTTAGAAATATTTCAGTATAGCTGGTAGTAACTCTTATGGATTCTTATTTGTCTGACAAGCAATTAGACATGGACATAAAAACTTAAATGCGCTATGAATCTGTGAACCTTCCAGCTGTATTTATAAACATAAGTGTATTTATACCCTTTAAATTGAAGAATTTCTCGGAACATCTGGTTCAAGTTTGAAAGAAAGGTTCCTGGACTCTAAATGTTGTTTGTATTACTACACTTTGGGTAATAGGTTGGGAACTTGTGCCTACAAAAATGATCGATAGCCATAAGGCCATCTCCAGTTCTACTATCGACTGTATTTATCGTTATCGATAGTTACTAAATGCTTTAAATTACAATTTATTTTAAAATGAAATATCTCTCGAAAAGTTTATTTGATTACCTTCATTAGTATCCTTTTGCTTTTTAATAAGCATTAATCATAGATTTGCTGAAAAGTAAAGATATCGATATTTATCGATTCAATCGAATAAAAGTGTTACGAACATTTTAAAAAGGTTTTAAGAAAAATATATTTTTCTTTATATATTCATAATTTTAAAATGTTTGCATAATTAAGCTTATTTCGATTTTGTTATATATTCGTTTAATTCAATTCCTTCTCTATGCAATATTTTGCTAGCTTGCACTTTCTCTTAATCCTTCTCCCACGCTTTCTGTGTTTCTCTTTTGGTTTCTTTCTTGTTCCTCGTGCTCTTTGTCACTTTTTGTAATTAAATGCTGCAGTTTGTTGAACAAATGTTGCCCGTCCAGTTGTCGCATGATCAACGTGACCCAAAAGCCGCGCACATGACAGACCCATAAAGTGTCTGGCTCACACACACGCACACACTGGCACACACACGCACACACTGATACACACTCAGCAGTTGATTGTTAGTTATTGGTTTCCACAGCACAACAAAAGCTGCTCCTGCGGCAACGAAGGCGACTCAAGTCTCAAGCTGTTATATTAGCTGACAAGTCTTTTGGGTAACGGGCAGGCAGTGAGAGGGTGTGTTCGAGTGTGTGTGTGTGTGTGTGTGTGTGTGTGTGTGTGCACATGGCAACCGTTTTAACCGCTTTATCATTTTAACATTATTAAATTTCATGCATCGGCCCACGCTGCGTATGCGCAATAATCTTGTCACTTTAGTTGCATTTAATAAAAAATCACTAAAAATGACAGCAATTGAAATCTGCATAAAATTTATGCAATCACATAGAGTAACAGTTAGGATATTCAGCGTTTTGCCGCTGTTGTTGCCAGGAAACTGGAGTGTGGAGTATCTATGTGTGTGTGTGTGTGTGTGTGTGTGTGTGTGTGTGTGTACGATGCGATGGGGCGCGCAAATATATTCATAGGAAAACATAAATTGCAGTCATTTTTATGCTACACGCCGGATTTGTAGACACAAAAGTAGACACACACAACAACAACAACAGCAGTGTGTGTGTATGTGTGTGTGAGTGTGTGTGTTTGTGTCACATGCAGCGCACTCGTAACGTCAGCGTAACAAATATTTATAGTCCTTGGCATTTGGCACAGCAGCGAAACCAAAAGCCAAAACAACTACCCAAGAAAAAGGCGAACTAGCACAAACAAAATGCCAGTTAGACTAAACTAAGTAAAACCAGCTCAATATTATTTTTTTATAAAAACAAAATAATACAATAACAAAACACATACAATATAATTCGCTGTCAGGCTGTGTAGGAAATTATTGCAATTTAAACAAAATATATAAAAAAAAAAAACAAACTAAATAATATATTCAAGTTAAAGTTTAGCCTGGACTTAAGTTATGTAGGAAAGTAGGATGTCTTCGGCTCGCCGTAGATTTAATACCCTTGTCGACATTGCCACATTTTGCAGTACCTACTGTTCGATCGAGCTTTACTTAGGCAGCTTTATGATATAGTCGACCGATTTTGTGAGAGTTTCGCATATATGTAAGGAGCATAGTGAGCATATGCAAAGTTTCAAGACGATAGCTTTAAAGCTGAGCGAGTAGTTCGCACTTAAAGTGTATTAAACTACACACCCAAAGACTAAAATCTCAGTAAAATAAAAGTAACAATAAATTAGCTAAAATTAAAACAGCAGCAGCTTAAGACGTAAGACGCAAAATTATGCAAATGAAAGAAACTGTGAAAATAATCCGTTGAGACGTTACAAACTTAATGACAAATTTGAAGGCACACTTAAGCGGCATAAAAAGGTATTACAGAAAGCTGGCTAAATGTTTGGAGCCTAACTCTTTCCATACATGTTGCAGACACAATTGGACAAAAGCACAAAACAACAATAAATGACAATAAGCAAGTGGAGAATATGAGAAAAACCAAACAGACAGCGAATTCTCATTCAAGCTGAAGGCCAAGTTAGGACTGAAAGCAAAGCGTCTTGTTAAACTAAACGAGGAAGAGAGAGAGAGAGAGAGACAGAAAGAGAGAGCGACTTCTATCTGTGTGTGTGTATGTGTTTGTGTGTGTGTGTGTGTGTGGGCGTTGGAGCAATTTCGGGTTTAGTATTTATGATGCTCATTTAAAATCCATTAGCAGCATAGGCCACAGCAGCAGCAGCAGCAGCAAATAAAGGCATAGAATGTAGTCCACACACACACACACACACACACACACATTCACAGACAGGGCATTGGCCATAATGTGTGCTTGGGCCATGAGCCAAAGTCAAAAGTGCCTCCAAGGTGCATTTAGCTGGCAGCCAAATGTGTTTTATGCCGGCCACAATGAGTGCCCCTGCCTTTTGGGCACTGGACAGCCCGGGGACCACAACCTGGCCAAGACGTTTAACAACAATTGAATTTAGAGCGCAGTTCACCATTTTGAACATCGCATTGGCCCGGACTAGTTAGTACCCAGGCACATGTTATAGAGCCTGTTACAGTTTGAGAGGCTCTGTATGCTGTAGTACAAATTGATTTTTGCAGTGGGAGTCGTGAGTAAACAATTTAATTGGGTTATATACGTTCAAAAAGTTTCCACAAGAAAACAGAAAAGCTTAAAGTCTATACAGTAACTTTGGCAAGCTCACATTTAAGCACAGTTTTGCAGCCGCATACCGTTTGGCAAGCACTGGGCCGCTAGAAGATAGATATGAATGCATTCGACTAGCAAAGACGACGTTGTCTGATGTCTAATGCTTGACTGTGATTGTGATGGATAAGCAATTGGCAATATTAGACACAGATACAGAACGAAAGGCACGACATACGCTGTCTCACTCACCCACACACACACACACACACACACACACACACACAAAGCCGCACGCACACCCACACCCCCACTCACCCACACACACAGCTGTGCCAAAGCGTGCTGACAAATGGCAGAGCAATTTTTAATTGAAAATGTTTGCATGGATTCTTGCCAATGTGATGCCGAGCATGTGAAACGGGTAGCCTTTAGCCCCAGCTCACGTACCCAACTCGGGCCCTGTCGCCCCCTTGGCTCACCCTCACTCGCTGCTGCTGCTGCCGCTTCTGCTGTTGATCTTTGTGTGCATTGCGTGTTGTGCCTGCATTTGATTGATTTATGGGCCAGCGTAGCCAAAAAAAGAAAACAACCAGCAAAACAAACGGGCAAAAAAACAAATCTACGAAATAGAAAATGAAAAAGAAAAAAAGAACATTCTCTAGCATTTCAAGAAAAATAAACTCCCAATGCGTCATGTCGTCAACGTCATCGAGTGCTGAGTGTTTTATAACATGCGAAAATCCTCAAATGAAATTATTAAAATTTTTGGTCTCCTCCCTCGCAACGCTCCTTCACTCGACACACAAGCGTAGCTGGCAAATCAAAAAGTGTTGCATACTCTTGAGCGCACACTGCAAATATGATTGAAACTGTGAAATTAGAGAGATGCCGCTCTGAAAGCCCGTCTGGCGAATTGCGCATACGCAACGTGTCCACGCATCGCCAACAGAATAACAGGCAAAACCAACAACAACCACCACGAGAACAAGTTGGAACTGCTTTTCGGGCTTATGAAAATTGAAACACCCTTGAGAAGATACTGTATATTAGAAAATAAAAGTGGGACACACAAAACAGGCGCTATTCGCAGGTCACAGACCTAAAATTTGAAAATTAAAATTAAATTTGCCGCGCTTATTGATATTAGAATTATTGAGGGGGTTCAAAGATCAATGAAATGTTTTTAATGCTGAGATTCCGGGTTCAAACCATTTTGGCCCATTAAATAAATTCGAATTTAAATAATACACGATGATAATTTGCACCTAACTATTGCTCGCCCATAGGCACGTATACTTGATTTATTGATAATAAATTAACTGCGCACCGGCCAAAAACTTTAATCTGATATTAAGTTGGGTCATTCAGCCGCGAAAGCGTGCGCCTTTCCACAAGGAATATGCTTTAAAAGTAAGAGACAATTTAAAGTTAATTTTAAATTGCAATTAAAGTCAAAACATATTTAGATTGTGAGTATTCAAATTGAGGGTGAAATAATGAGGGAACAAATTTAAAGGCAAATTTTTGGCTTCAATTTATATATGAATGCTCATTTCCTGATGGCACCAAGAATATTTGTATATACTCTATGAATATTTATATAAATGTAGATTTGTACTACCAATTAAGGTTGCATATACCGTGACAAAACATAAATGTCCTGAGGAAGGGTATTTAACTAGAGCTCAAAACAAGAACGAATACTAAAAGCGACGCGTGGCAGCATCAACTTGGCACAGTTTTTTGGCGGCAC